CTTGCTCGCGTGAACCTGATCTTGAGAGGCGAGATCGCCTGGGAACCGAACAGCACGCGGAATCTTAGACTGGGGGATGGGCGTCCAAGCCCCATGCAGCCCTATTCTGCACCGTGGTTCCTCGAAGGCATGGGAGTAGGCACTAGGGTGGTGAGTGCTCGTGGGAACATCCGCCGGAGAAAGCTACGGACCCTTTGAGCACTCATGCGTCTGCTCGACGCGGAAAAAAGCGGCAAGATTAGATGATCTCTTCAGTCAGTTTTCCTGTCCGAATTGCTGTGCTGTGAGATGGTTGCAGAGGCTGCCTCACCTGAAGAACATTTGGCGCCCGCCGCGGAACTATTATGCCTTCTGGCCACAGCCGGGTGGGAAAGCAAGCTTCATATGCTATGCTTGTGCCCCTCCTGACTGGCGACAGGATTTTGGCCTCGGTGCTGGCATCTACCACGGCGGACCAAGCGGAGAGCTAAGCCGGCCAGCACAAAAAGTGAGTTCATCATCCTACGCAGCAATCTAAGCCAGGTCCTTGCTGTCCTGAAGCGTGCTGATCAGGGCACAGTCAAGCTTCCCGTGCGGATCTCAGGGGCAAGATCTGTAGGGCTTGCAGGTTGTTGCAGGAGTATGGTTCCTTGTCGTCCTTCGATTACTATTATTACCATTGTGACAAGTGGCAGTTTTCATTCCTTCCCTGAGGCATGGGTCATCGCCAAGTGTGTTGCAGGGCTGGCCATCTCCGTCCCAGACACGGCCTTGGATATGCATAAGTGCTTGAGCCTGCTTGTCACGAGTTGGTGGCCAAACAACCACTCAGCATCCCTCAACCTATCTAGAGTTTGAACCCTGAACTCTAAACCGTAGCCTACCCACTGAACCTATGCGGCAAAAGGTGTTCCAAGCAAAACACAGCCTAGCCTGAACTTACCCCCAACATCAGAAACCCAAAGAAACCAGTCCTTGGATCCGCAACCCTAAATGTGAAACCTTAAATCCTAAACCCTCAACCCTAAATCCTTACACCTTAAACCCTAAACCCTACACCCTAAACCCTCAACCCTAAACCCCAGATCGTTAAAAGCTGCCAAGGGTAGCCATGAGATTGGTGCGTTGAAGCTCCTGGCCCGCGCCGCGACAGCACGGGTGGTCGAGCTGCTGCCCGAGGAGCCCTTAACTTAAGTTAGGGTCTAGGGTTTAGGGTTTAGGGTTTTGGGTTTTGGGTTTAGGGTTTGGGGTTTAGGGTTTAGGGTTGCTGTTAAGGAACTTAAATTGAGTTACTCTAGTATTCCACCATAATGGGGAATCAAATTGAAAAGAAAATGGAAAATGAAATGGAAACTGGGGGAATATAGGGATTAAGGAACTTAAATTAAGTTACTATATTGGGGAAACCCTATTAGTTACTATATATACCCATTCTGGTAGCCCTAAACCCTATACAACCCTGTATACCTGATTTTATGTATATATTTATATTTATATGCCCATTATGGTACCTCTCGCAAATCCAGAGCTCTTCTTCTGGTTTCGGGTCAGAGTTTAGGCTCTCTCAAGGAGACGAACATGGAAAACGAGGTGAACATTTTGTTTAAACTCCAGATGCAGAAAGCACAGAGACCGCATGACGGTGGTTCGGACCAGGAATGTTCTGAGCTGCAAAAAGGATTGTTTCAGATTCACGATCAGCGATATCGCCATTTCTCTTCCAACTTCTGTCTGCAATTGTAATTAGTTCCAATTCTGGATGCTGCTGTTGACTTGAGCCCTCCGCTGCTGCCACTATCCTCTATTGCCTTTCATATTTGGTAGTTTCCGGAAACCCTCATTTGCACTTTATCATACTTCCCTAATCTTCCGGGGAGCCCCAAGGGACCACATTTGACAAACCTCCTTGTTAACTGGGTTGCTGTTAAGGAGCTTAGTTAAGTTACTATATCGGGGAAACCCTATTATTTACTATATCTACCCATTATGATAACCCTAAACCCTATATAACCCTGCAACCCTGCATACCCTATATATGTATATAAGCACGTACCCATGTATATAAGCACGTACCCATTATGGTACCTTAATTTAAGTTCCTTAACCCAACTCAGTAGTTCTATGTCCGTTGTTGGGTTGTCCGACTAAATCAGGGACCACAGTTTGCATTTCATTTCCATTTTCCGTTTGGTTCTCCATTATCCCAATATCAACCCTATTAGAATATGGTATCCAAACCCAATATAAACCGATATACCCTATATATATATATATACCCCTTATGATACCTAATTTTACGTTCCATAACAGCAACCTAGTAAAGGAGCGTGCTTTGATCTTCTGGAGCCTGAGCCTGCAAGGCTGCTATGAGGCAAGGGCAGACTCAGCTCCTACATTACCATATGAGCTACGGATTAAGTTTAGGTTGGGGGGACCTATAGGTGGAATATATAGGGTTTCAGGGGAGACCTATTAAGGGATATGCTACAAATTTAGACCAGGGCTCATATGAGCCATAGTGTAAACTCCTCAAACGGGCTATAATATGATATATATTATTGGTTCTGCAGGGAATAAGGGGATTTGTTATCTAGGGTTTAGGGTTAGTAGGGACTCAGGGAACATATGAGCCATAGTCTAAACTCCTCATAGGGGTTACATAGGGGTTATTTTGGATGTAGGGTTTAGGGTGTAGGGTCTAAATTCCTCAAAGGGGTTATATAGGGGAGCATACAGGGGAAAACTGCGGAGTTATTAGGGGGGATGCTAGGAGTTTGGCTATAGCTCATTTGAATAGCTTCTGTTTGCTTGAGAGGCCTGGGTGAGCGAATATGGGCTATTATGGGTGATTGTGTAGGGATGTTATTCCAGGGATTCACTCCTCCTCTAAACTGCCTTGCTGTTGAGGAACTTAGATGAAGTTACTACAACAAGTACACCCTATCATTTCTTATATGCCCATATTACAGTAATTTAGTTTAAGTTTCAACCCTAAAGCCCAACAACAAAATCTCAATGGTGGATCCTTCTTGGTACGACATCCGTTAGGTGGACCCCGCGGCCATTAATAGTGACTGTAAGGGATATAAGGGTTATATTAAGGTCCGACTATATTCCCATTATACCACTATTACAGGGTGGGGGGTCCTCCTAAGACATCCTAAACCCTAAACCCCCTAAACCCCCTAAGCCCCCTAAAGCCTAAACCCGCACTGTACTGCAAGCCAGTCTCTGGAAAGGACATCTTTGAGGCAGCCTTGGAACAGACGCCGTGGCAAGAATCTCAGTCATCTTACTGGGGGTTAGTGGTTAGGGTTTAGGGTTTAGGGTTGGTAGGGAACAAGGGAGTATACCTGCTGTAATGGAGAATCAACTGGGCTAGTTACTGGGGGTTGGTAGGGAATGAGAGGGTACATATATATATATATATAAATAGAGTTTAGGGTTTAGGATTTAGGGTTAGTAGGAAATAGGGAAGTATATTATGTAGGATAATAGTGCCTTATTATTCCCTTCTAATCAACAGTAATTAATCTGCTGCTTCCGCGGATGGTGGAATCCCTTTGTTGCCCTCACCCCCAGGACCTTCTGGGCCCCAAAGCCGCAGGCCTTTGGGAAATGTGCAAAGCATGCTGCGTCTGTGCTTCCCACTGCTTCATGTGAGCTATAATCTGAACTCCTTAACAGGGGCTATATAGGGGACGATATAGGGTTCCTATTGTAGAGCTTATTGGGGGGGATACTAGGAGTTTAGACTACAGCTCATGTGTCTTGGTGCAGTGCTGATGTTCCTCTGCTTGTTTGAAGGAGGAGCTGGCGCTCAGCCGAGCTGGCTTTGTCCCAACGCCAAAGCTTGTGGCTTTGTGCCAGGCTCTTTCATCTGGTAGTTTCCCTAAATACGGGGACCCCAATACAGACCCCAAAATATTGTAATTCTTCTTATATGGGGCACCCAAAAAGGTACCCATGATCTTGGGAAGCCTTATCCGTTGGACAGCAAGAGAGTGGATCCATCATGCGTTTGAGTAGTACTCTATTTGAGGATACTATGATACCCAATATAGAGTAAGACTATATCCTCCTTTTGGGTTCTAGTATTTTATATGCAGAATATGATCTTACTGGGTTTAACCACCAAAAAAACACTACTCATTCGTGACAGGTTCATCTCGCTGATCTGGCTTTTCGCATCGAAGGTGGAGGCCAGGTGGCGCCCAACCGTTTGGTAATGAAGCCCTGATTTGGGGTTTCCTAAATTTAGAGGTAATTTTTTGCGGGCCCCAGAATATATTAGGATCTATACTGGGGTCCTGTTATTTAGGGAAACTACCAAATTGGGGCATGTAGTTGGGTTCCGGGATGTCACTAGGTGACTGCATGGGCCTCTCCGCGGCGCAGAGGACCCGTGGAAGCGCGTTCCAAGCATTCTTTTGCTTCAGGCAAGCGTTGCATTTTCCGGCTTGGCATCCTGTTCTGAAGCTGTAACCAGACGTGGCCTGGGGACAGCGTGGATGCAAGATGAGACATCATTCTGGAGCAGGACGCACGTCGTGGAAGCTGCCCAAGTGATGGCACGTGTGCGGCCAGAAATATCAGCACAGGCAGGAAAACCGCGAGAGTCTTTTGCGCACCGATGGGCACCACAGAGCTCAATGACGATGCAGGCTGAGCCCATTTGCCAAGCCCTTATCTCGATGGATTTGCTCCCTTCACTTGGAAGCAGCACGCCAGAAGGCCGAGCTCTCAGACTTTCAAGCTGCATGTTCAGCAGAAGTGTTACCCATCATGAGCATGGGGATGCACATCTCTGGCTCTGCAAGGCACGAAGAAACACCCGGTCACCGTGCCACAGCCATCTCAAACAAGAAGAGAATTCAGCACCGCTAGATTTCTGATAGACACAGCCTCATCCCTTTGATTGCAGGCAGCCATGTGAATTTCTCATGCATGGCAGCAATCCAGCCATGTCCATCAACCACGGAGAGGAGGACTTGTTGTCACTTTGCTTGCAGGTAACCAGCATGGGCAAACTTCCGGGCTTTGCTTTGAAGAAGAAGCAGCCGGCTCGAAATGCAAGTCAGGTTTTGCTGGGACGAAGCATACTGGAACCGACGCCTCTACAGACGCGCGCTGCGTCCGAGGTGTCGCTGGCTCAACATACCTCGCAGAAGCGAAGCGCTCGCATCAGATGGAACATGGGGCCTTGCCAGCACAGAACTTGGGTTTCTGCCCTCAGAAAATCCGGGTTGGATGTCGACTTCTGCAACCTGATGCAATGGAGAGGGTTTCAGTTTGGCTCCCGCCGCGTGGCTGTCAAGATGAAAGACTTCTGTCATGACAAGCACGAGCTAGCAACGGAGCTCATGCAGTATCCTGCTCTATCAGGTCATATGCCTGAAACATACCTGAGTTTGGAAGAGTTTCTTGCCTCAGGAAGGAATTCAGAAGGTTTGTGGTTTCTGAAGCTGTCCGACGTTGACTATGGATGTGGAGTCCGGCCTTTCACGGGCCCCAAGACTGCAGAAGAGTTGAACGATTTGCTGGAGGTGGCCTTCGTGGAGGCATCTCAGTCCGTCACAGCTCTTCGGAGAGCAAAGGGTTGCAAGCCTCGAGCTGTTGGTCAACAGATCGTCATTCAACGCGCAGTGGATTCTCCACTAGCCGATGGTTACAAGGAGGATTTGCGAGTTTACGTTTGCTGCACCGCATCATCTCCGAGGAAGACCTTCGTTTACCAGAAAATTGGAGTTCGAAAGGCGCCCAAGCCAATGGATCCAGCCTCGGGTTTAAGTCGGGCCGCCCACTGCACACACTACGGACGAATCACGCCGACTGCATCGTCCGCAGACTATCGACATTACGACATCATATTTCCAAGGCTGTGCAGAACCATTGCTGAGATAATGCGGCATTTCAGCCCCACGCTGGAAGAAGGCTCGACAGTGCTTCTTGGCATGGATTTCATCTGCGACGAAAACCTCCAGCCCTGGTTGCTGGAGATTAACCAGGTGCCCCGCCTGTGCTACGAAGCTCCTCAGGTGCAGTCCTAAAAAATAATATGCCAAAATATTCCATAACCCATAATATCCTACAACATACCCTAATATGCTACAATATAGTAAGATATACTATAATACGAAGCTCCTCAGGTGCAGTCCTGGACGGAGGGCATGGCTTTGGATTTTCTTTACCTCATCGTTTTCCCAGAGCTGGGTCAGAAAGCTGCGGCGCACCAGACCCTTTGGCTGGAGGTCTAGTTATGTAGGGGTTGTAGGGTTTTGTTAGGGGTAGTATAGTAGGGTATATATATATATATAGAAATGCGTGATATAGTAGGGTATATATATATATGCATGGGTAATATAGTAGGGTGTATATAGGGGTAGTATAGTGATATCTATATTGGGCAGAGCAGAGTGAGGTGTTTGGTGTTTCACCAAGAGGCAAGTCTGCCGAAGTGCAAACAGACTTGCCATGCTGCCTTCCAACAAAAATGCCTTTCACCTACCATGTTGCTTGTTGCGCCTGGTCTGTTCGTAATCGCAGGCGTGCACTGCACTGCTCTTGCAAGCCCCTTATGATAATATACTGTAGTATGCCATTTTACCATAATACACCATAGTCCTGCCACAATATATTACAATATACTATAAATATATATATATATCACAATATGATATAGCATAATATAATATACATATGCTGCAAGGTTTGCCTGTGAGTATTCGGGTGAGCTCTGCGGCTATGGCGCGGGAGCCTCAATCTGCTTCATAAGTCACCTCAATAATTGTAATAAGAGTAGTACTAGTAGTAGTAATAACTGTCAGTAGTAAAAGCAACAATAGGAAGAACAGTTATAAAAGTGCAAGCAGTAATAATAGTAAAAAAGGTAATAACAGTGATAGTAGAACTAGTAGTAATAATTGTAAACATTGTAACAATAGTAGTAACAGTAATTATTGTAATAGTAGTAACAATTGTACTAGTAAACTTTGTAACTTGACTTCCTGACAGTCCCCAGGGAGTCTGCGTCAACTGTCTCAGTGGAGGCACGCTCCATGATGGACGATGCAAGAACTAACTGCTCTGACGGTATGACCGTCTTCTAGATCCAGCTGCTCATGACGCTTATCGTTGGTGACCAACCTTCCCCTAGCGCTTAGATAAAAGAGCTCTTGCCCAGAGACATCGCGACTATGGGGTCGCTGCATGTAGAGTAGAGACGTCATTGCAATGGCAGTGCAGGTAGATCGGCCGGGCGACCTGCTTTTTGATATCAACTCTGACAAAGCATACCGCTGCTTGGCTGGCAAGGTTTCAGGTCTTGCTGTTGTGCGATGGTCTTGCAAGCGGTCTCGACGGCTTGCATCTCGTTCATGGGGCGTCCCTTGAGGATTTCCGCCTACTGCGCTGAGACGACGCCTCCTCTGGCGTTTGGGTCCCTTGGATTCATTACAGTGGTCCCGAAACCCTAGACTCTAGACCCTAAACCCTCCTAAACTATGGCTGTTGATGCTCTGAGCGGCAGCGCAAGGTCACACCGTGGTGGTATTACCATGGTTCGAGGCAAGAAATGAATTTTTCCTGCCCAGAGATATTGATGGAGATTTAAACAGGCACTACATCGGGGTACATAGGGATCACACAGCGATTGTCGCGAGATTAAAGGGGTCCGTTTTGGTTATTCAGTGGGATGAAATAGAGCTTATGTCGGGATATTTGACTACTTGGGAATATCTAGGGATTACAGGGGGGTTACAGGGGTCCTTATTGGTTGAGTCAGTCTCGGCAGCACTGGATTCTGGCTTCGGCAGGTGGACCGCTGCGATAAGGATCAGCTCACCACTCTGCTTCGGGCAAGGCTTATGGAGGCTGGGGGACAGGGTTTAGGGTTCAGGGACTAGGGCTTAGATTTAGCGTTCAGAATTTGAGGCTTAGGGTTTAGGGCTTAGGGTTTAGGGATTAGGGTTTTGCTGTGATGTGGTGCTAAACCAGAGATGGTCATGCCACGGAGTCGCTTTGAGTGCGTCGTGCTGTGCGACATGCTGCTGTGGTCCCACTCTGGCTGACCATCTACATTTGCCCACCCGGCGATGTCCCAGGCGGCCAAACCACCCAATCCTATTAGGGTTTAGGACCTAAACTCAGTTAGGTCCATCTTGGTCAACAACACAGTTCTATCTCCACAGCTACCATCTGGGAACGACCTTCTGGAGGGCCGTCTGGATGGTCAGAGGTTTATGGAACGCTGTCTAGGAGCCTCCAAAATGCTTGGAAAAACCAGCCAGCCCCTGCAGAACGAGAGGCTTCAGGCTGTTGACTTTATCAAGGCGACCATTACTGGCTGCAGGGAGAACAGGTCCCAGTACCGAGCCTGCAGTAGGTGCTACCGGTCTGGGTCGGCTTTTGGAAACTGAATGCGATGGCATGAGCGCGCCCTGCATCGTGGGTGGGTGGCGGAAATGCTAGCAGACGTGGCACTGTTGTGCGTGCGGAAGTTGTTGGACCTCATGGACCTCTGCACGCTTACAACATCTTTTGGCAGAACATCTTGGCACACCTCGGAAGCGCGCCGGCGTTTTCATCAAGGGGGAGTGGGGGGACCGCGATGGGGGTTAGTTACGCCACTTCTTCGCATTACATGACTGAGCACATGCCTGAGCTTTGTTTGAGTGTCCCTCCCTCGCACCGAGTTATATTAGATACAGCCCAATTAACATCAGTCAAATTCTAGTTAAAGTCACTTGAACTCTAACTACGATCATTTAGAGTCTACTTAAAAGTCACTAAAGTCCAACAAACATGAATTGACATCAGTTACTTCTAAGTGCAATATGCGGGAAACGGCCCCATGGTCAGAAAAAAACAGTCAACGGCCACAAAAAGACATCCACCGCGAGAAAAGAGATGCAACGTAAAAAAGGGCACACGTTCAGAAAAACATCCAGGTCAGAAAAACAGTTCCAGAAAAATCATCAACGTTCAGAAGAAGACACACCCATATAGTCTCAGTGCATATAGGGGGCAATATGTGTTATCATGGGGGTGGGAGGAGTCATTGATCCTCAACCCTGAGCAATGTATAGCAGTTTCGATTTTCCGTTCCCTTACTTATATATACCTCCACATCATCCCCTCACGGGGAGAGGATTAATCCCAAATGTCATCCATGTATAGCCCTGGTTTCCATGTCATTTCCATTCTGCATCATGGGGGTAGATCCCTAAACCCTTAAAAAGGCCTAAGCCCTTAGCCCTAAACCCTAAACCGTAAATCCCTTGCGATGGGTGTGCGAGGTGTCGCCGCCACAACCGTCCTTCAACTTGGATCGAGGCATGGACTGGCAAAGTCGTCATGGGGGTTTTACAGGCCTTCATGGGGCTTACAGAGGAGCGATACGGTTATATGTATAGGGTAATTCGTGATAAAGGGTTATACAGGGTGGTATAAGCTTATTTGGAAATAATACCTAGATAAACCTATATGACATAGTAGTTTCCATGTTATTTTCCATTATTCCAATAGAACCCCAATATACTATGGGATTCTAAAGGTACATATAGTCTGAGCTTGGCCCTTTGAATTGCAGACAGCACGGAGCGTAAGCGGGCTGATGGTGTTCTTTCCCTAAACCCTAAACCCTAAACCCCTAGACCCTAAACCGTCTTTACCAGCTCAGGATACCATGTTTTCAGCTCTGGCTCTCAGGTGGGCGTGCCAGCGCTCTCCAGCCCGATACAGGAGGAAGTCATATGAGCAGCGCTGAAGCCGGCAACTTAGATCTTCAAGTATATGGGAGTTTCCCAATATTAGGGGTACCTTTTTGGGGGTCCCTATAATAAGGACTATAGTATTTTGGGGTCTATATTGGGATCCCCTTATTTTGAGAAACTGCCATATAACCCTTTATAATGTCTGCAATTCAAAGGGCCAAGCCCAGACTACATAACCCTCCATAATCCCACAGTATATTGGGGGTTATGTTGGAATAATGGAAAATGAGATGGAAACTACTATGTCATATAGGTTTATATAGGTATTCTTTCCAAGTAACCTTAGCATCTTTGGCCTCTTCGACTCTCACTGAACTGTTTCAGGCCATCGCGAGCAGCAGCTGCAGTTGCCTGGTCTTGTTACAGCTTCCCTTTTTGACTTGTTGACTACCTGGCCTCCAATGCAAATGGCAAGCCAGCGGGCTCTGCCTTAGAACTTGCGCCCAGGTTTGTCATCATATCTGCATCCAGCAATGAGGCCGCACTTGCACTTGAAACCCTAAACCCTAAACCCTAAACCCCTAAACCCTAAACCCATGGGTAATTCCAGACGTCAGCCTGATCAATCGCAAACGTTCGAAGTCAGCTCTAGTCTTGCTGTACTTACTGGTTCTTAGTGGAATAAGGGAATACACTCCCTATATAATCCCTATCAAATATATTCCCTTATTCCCTACTAAGAGCCAGTAAGTTCATGCCTTATGAGATGGTGAAAAGTTACATGCCCGCATCTCTTGGCTCAGTACAGCATCGGCGCCCTTGACCCCGTGCTGGCTTCTTGACGCTCATGTACGCCTCAGAGCACATCTTCGATGCCTTCACTGATCCCATGTCATTCTCTAAGGAGTTGGAGGTGGCTTTGGATTATGTTGCAAAGCAGCCTCAGCAATTAAGCTCTTACGGGCCACACGCCCTGACTTGCGTGGCTCTGGCAGCCGTCAGCGCGCCAAGCATCCAATGGGACAGTTTGTATGCTGCCTGTCGTCAAATAGCAAAGAAAGGCTTGCGACATGCCTCTCCGGCTTCGCTAACGCGCCTGTGCTGGGTGCTGGCATGTGCGGTGCACCGCGATGAAGAATTATTAGCTACAATCGGCGAGGAGATCGCTGAACGGCCCTCCGACTTTCAAGTGGAAGAGTTGGCCAAGTGTGTGTATGCCTACTCTGAACTGAAGGTTTTCCATGAAAGTATGCTGGCCGCTGCCACCGTGGAATTGATGTGGAGGATTGACCAATTGAGTGCGAGGAGCCTAGCGCATGTCGCAGTGGCTATGGCGCGCTTAAACTATTGCAAGCAGCCTATGTTCGATTGGTTGGCCAACAGCATCTGCCGGAGACCCGAGCGCACGTTGGACGACCTGTCTTCTGTTGTCTGGGCATTTGCCAAAGCCTCCGTTCAGCATGAAAGGCTCTGTCAGGTGGCTGCCCAAGCCGCGTCAAGCGCAGACGCCCATACTTTGACTGAGGAGCAGCACGCACGACTCATGTGGGCATTTGGGAAGCCAAACTTGGAAGCACCAGCTGTTGGACTGCCTAGGCCCCTGTTCCATGTAGGGCTGGCAAATGCCCAGCAAGTCTGTGATGACATGACCCCCAAGGATGTGCCAAAGGATGCATAGCAAAAAACCTGCTTGTCAATTGCGTGCGTGCTTGCCATTCCTAACGAATCCATGTTCTGCTGTGCGACCTGGTACCAGAATCTCATGCCATGATCAAGAGCCCCTGCAACGCACTAAACATTCTCTTCCAGAATCTTTATGGAGCTTCCACAGATCCACAAATCGTACATTATTCGCTATGGGGACCCTTACAAGGGGACTCCTCTTTGTGGAAACCCTGCTCCCTAAAAACCATTACATGTTTTCAATCTCCATTTCGTTTTTGATTTTATTTTCCATTTGATTCTCCAATGCCGCGGTAACATCCCTATATTCTAGAACCTCCACACCCAATATGTCTAACCCATACAAGCCCCAACATAAAATTGCAGAACATACACGTCTTGATACATCCTTAAACATTCCTTCGGCACTCGGGCCTGGGACCAGCCAAAGTGGCTTGATCAGGCTTCCTCCAGGACTCTGATTTCGCTTCCGAAGGCATGGAAAAGGGACCCCCAGTTTTGGAAAACTGCATCTAAACCTGAGAATGCTAATTGCGATAATGTATTATGACCGGTGCCTCAGAAGGGCCCAGAGTTTTGGAAAAGAAGGCCTGGGAATCCAGATCGGCGTAGGAGGTTTTAGTCGGGGGAATCGCAATGGAAGTAGTTTATGGACATTGCTCTGCTTCATGTGGACGATTTTAGAAGCTATGTTTTCTTAGATATGCGATATAGATGCAGGAGTTATATATGCATCATTATGGTTTCAAGTTTCAAGGGGGTGGAGGATCGAAGACCACCCTGTAAACTCTATATATCCCTATATATCCCTATTATACTACAGGAGTTTCCATTTTCTTTTCCACTATCCCTAGATAACCCCTATATAATTACTGCTGCAGGCGTGGGTGAGACAGCGCTGTCCGCCACCTTCTGCCGCTGCGCAAGCGTGCAGGTCGGGTTCGCAATGCGCATGCATTAGGTGGACTCCCGTGACTGAAACAGGGTGGGGGGTGGAGGCTTCGGGGAGTCTCAAGGCAGGCTTTCTCAAAACCCTCCCTGCTCGCAGGGGCGCGGGCACCACCACTATAAGAAGGAAACATCAATGTGAGCTAGTGTCAATAGCGTTACTACCCAGGAACTGCTAAAGAATGGACCGAGGGAGTATGAGGGAGTCACTTTGGACATATGGTATGGTCCCCAACTTTGGACAAATGGTATAATCTGCATTCCAATAGAATCCCGTGTCCAGTACCTACACCAGAAAGTGGTTTTTGCTATGCAAAACCTTGCACAGCTATACATGGATTCCCTTACGGTCATTTAGGATATCAGGTTTTACGCCGTGCGAAAACTAATTGCAGATCCTCTCTAGCGAAAGTGCCTCCGGGTATATGAGAAGTTGCTGGGCCAAAGCCTTTGAGCCCTTAGCACTCTGAACTGGTTCGGTGCTGTCCATCAAGTGCGCGAGACTTCTGCGACATTGCTCTCCATTGCATGCATCACTTTGCCGTCGAGGCGTGCCATCCGCGCTGAGCCGCATGCAGCACATGAACTACATTAATTGTTTCTCATGTCCCTCGCGGCTGAATATCTTCATGTTGCCGTGCGGCTTTCACCAGCAAAGTTTCAAGCGGCGCCTTGCGCGGACAAACGTCCGGGCCGCTGCACTTCCAGTACAGTATTTAACAATTTTGCAAGGGCTGGCCACCTGAGAACCATGTCAGGTGCACCCTCCACCGGAGGTTGGTCAAAGGCCGCCCATGTACCCCACGTACCATAGCTTGCCATAGCTTGCCATAGTTTTCTTATTTGAATATTCCGTTAACGCTGCTGGTCCTGCCTTGTGGCCGGGACTCTTCAGGATGCAGATGCGGAGCATTGGATTCCTGTGTACAGCTCGTCCATAGAAACGGAGAGTGCGGTGCGCTGAGGAGAGCCCTTGGTAAAATTCCGTTGGCGTGCGATGAAGATTTTGCCAGATATCTCGCCTCAGGCGGTTGAACCTGTCACTCTTGTCTTACACCGCCGATGACATGGTTACAATAGAACAGGTGGCAGGTGACAGATAGTCATCACATCCACTGTCAGTAGCAGTCAAACGTGGTGCTGATCCCGTCAGGACAAGCAGAAGTGAAGATGAACCTTCGCCTTTGTGTGCAACGAGTGCTCAACATCTCATGCAAGCAAGAAGTTGAACAATCAGTCAAGAGCACTGCCCACACCACGCAGCCAAGTTGAGAAGAGCTGCCACACAAACTGGTGCTGGTTGCAGAGACCGTGTGCATGTTCAAATATGCGTTTCCCCCAATTCGGGGTACTTTACTGGGGGTACCCCTCATAAGGACTGTGGATCTACACCTGGGAGCCTTGTTTTGGAAAACTGCCAACTATTGTCCAATAGATAGGTGACGCATGCCACGGGCTTGCCGTTGCAAGCCGGTCATGCCGCGCTGATGCCAAGCTTGCCGGATGCAAAGTTCCAGCTTTTGCATCACACCACCCTAAATCCTAAATCCTAAACCCTAAATAGTAGTTTCCATCTTCTTCTCCATTATCCCTGTATAACCCCAATATACTATAGTAGTTTTCATTCTCCATAGTCCTAAATCCTAAACCCTTGCCAGCCTGACACCTTGCCTTCTGGAGCACAGGAGTCGAATTTGGTGGGGCCGGGTTTGGTCGGGGCTTTTTGAGTGTCATGCTTGGACGATCCACGCTCCTGGCTTGTGAAGCCCTAGGATATCCTGAAGCATACAAACCCGTTATGAATATACCCATTATGACACTAAATCCCCCCTAATCCTGGCGGGCCACAGCGGACCCACCTTTTCACCTGCGTGCGCCAGCAAACGCGGTAAGAGGCACTTAGTTTTACCGTTTTGAGAGCGTAGATCAACGTGAAACTAGCATCTGCTGAACGCAATGCCCACCAGCCCTGCATGCAGTTTCTTTCTGCAGGTCATGACGAGCGGAGAGCAACAACTTGCATGCAAGCTGTCGTTTGCGATTCTCTGCCCACGTTGCGTTCCTGCACAGAGCGCCAGCTGCATCTTCACAGCACCAAGCCAACTGATGCTCGTCCAGTTCGCTGTAGGAAACAGACCAATACTTCTCCAGCGCTCCCGCAGCCAAATTTCCGCGGAGATGCAACGCTTGCGCTAGCTTTCACCGCAGAGAAGGAGTTTCCACGATCGAATCAAACATGGCAGGTGAAATTACCATAGAGACCGTAATCTACCTTTGACGTGCTAACATGCTCAAGCGTGTGCCGCAGGCGTCCTGCAGTAAATAGTAAATGCAAAATTGTGTGTGGTTTGTGAGCCAAAACCTAGCTAACTGAGTAAAAAGTTACTGACTCACCTCCCCTATGTCC